TACTTGCCTCTCTGGTAACCCCCACACCCACCTCCTTAATGCAAGAAGTTTAGATCAGAGGCCTAAGGAGGATTTTTCTTTTTTTTAAATATATTTTATTGATTTTTACAAAGAGTGAGAGGGATAGAGAGCCAGAAACATCGATGAGAGAGAAACATCGATCAGCCGCCTCCTGCACACACACACCCCCCTCTCCCCCCAGGGATGTGCCCGCAACCAAGGTACATGCCCTTGACTGGAATCGAACCCAGGACCCTCCAGTCCGCAGGCCGACGCTCTATCCAATAAGCCAAACCAGTTAGGGCAAGGAGGATTTTTCTTAAATCCAAATCCAAATACTACCATTAGTCACATTACAGAACTCCTAAGCATTCCTGTCATAAGACAGTAAGACAGCCGGCCAGGCCTGCAGAACAGGGTGAGAAGAGTATACCCAAAAAAGCAAAGCACAAAGCAGCATGCACCCTTACCACTTTTACAATAAATTGGACTAGGCTTTTAGGGTACCAAAGGGCCTTTCCTGGCAGCCAATGAGAGCACAGGAATGGTGACTCAATCTGTCACAAATAGGTGTATGCTATCACTCCTTGCCTATTGCTTCCACACTGTTGAAATAGAAGCAGAAAAGTCCCACCCATTTTGCCTGGCCAGTGTGGCTCGGTGGTTGAGTATCCACCTATGAATCAGGAGGTCACGGTTCAATTCGTGGTCAGGGCACATACCCGGGGTTGTGGGCTCAATCCCCAGTAGGGGGCATGCAGAAGGCAGCCACTCAATGATTCTCATCATTGATGTTTCTCTCTCTCCCTCTCCCTTCCTCTCTGAAATCAATAAGAATATATATATTTTAAAATTCCCACCCAGCCCTGGCCAGTTTTGTTCAGTGGCTAGAGAGTCAGCCTGCAGACCAAAGGGTTCTGGGTTCAATTCTGGTCAAGAGCATGTATGTACCTTGGTTGCAGGCTCCTCCCCAGCCCATGGCCCTGGTCAGGGCGCGTGCAGGAGGCAACCAATCAATGTGTTTCTCTCACATCGATGCTTCTCTCTGTCTGTCCCTCTCTCTTCCACTCTCTAAAAATCAATGGAAAAATATTCTCGGGTGAGGATTAACAACAACAAAAAAACCCCAATAATTTAATTAATTAATTAATAAAATTCCCACCCATTTTGAGGCACTTAATTCATAGAGACAACCATCCACATATCCCCTCAAAAAATACAAAACAAAAACCTACCCCCAAACTGTGTCCTTAAATCTCACCCCAAAAGATTAGTACTGTATACAATTTCAGCCTAAAGGATGAGAACTCTGGAGTATACCCAAAGAGTGTATACTCTGAAGTTCTTATTATCACTCTGAAAACTGTAAATATGATAAACTGCATTAAAACAAAAACAGCTAAGTGGGTTTGCATGTAACATTTAGACCAAAAAGCATTGGAAATTTAGTGTTTTTAAAAATGGCATGCTATTGCCTAGCTGGTTTAGCTCAGTGGCTAGAGCGTCGGACTGAAGACTGAAGGGTGCCAGGTTCAATTCCAGTCAAGGGCACATGCCCGAGTTATGGACTTGATCCCCAGTATGGGGCATGCAGGAGGCAGCCAATCAATGATTCCCTCTCATCATTGATGTTTCTATTTCTCTCTCTCCCCCTCTCACTTCCTCTCAGAAATCAATAAAAAATTAAAATAATAATAAAATTAAAATTAATAAATAGCATGCCATGATGGTTTTAGAGAATTACACTGGCTTGCATATACATGATCACACAACACCAAAGAACCATGCTGATTTTATATATTTGATTTACAGAAAGATCGCTACAGATAAAAATGGTCATGGGTAGTACAGATACCTCTCAGAATAGAACCATAAATGTGAATTTCAGTGCACACCTGACACACTTAAGTTGGGCCCCACTCCCTTTCAGTCTACCCTTGAAATGACCTTGCACGGAATACGTTTGTATTGCAGCTCTCCGAGTAAGGACCACAGGGCAAATGATGTCTGTAGATTCACTGTCTGGCATAGCCCACACACTAGACTAGACACACTGTCAACTTCAAATGAATGAATAATCTTGGAACTAAGAACTACCTGTTTCTGCTTTCTGCCCCCTGCCAGGTAGATAAGTTATACCCATTTTATAGGCGAACTAAATCTAAACCACAAGTGAGGGGTATTGGAATGGCTTTATCATGGATTTAGGGCTATGGCAACAATTATACCAAGCAACTGATTCCCACCAATAAGTATGAGGCAGATAAGGGAGAAATATGCCAATAAATTAATCACCATGAGAAAACCACATAGCTTAAGTACTGAGAGTGTGTGCAATAAATTCCTGACAATGAAACAAAGACTAGAGCATGGGTGCATGGGGCGGATCAACTTGGGTGGAAGAGAAAAGGGATAAAAGGATTCTCATTTTACCCTGGCCTGTGGGTTCAGTGGTTAGAGCGTAAGCCTGTGTGTGTGTGCGCGCGCGCGCACACACACACACACACACACACAAGGATTGGGATTTGATTCCGGTCCAGGGCAGGTCCGCTGCAGGTTTGATCCCCACCCCGTTTGGGGCGCATGCGCGAGACAAACCAATTGACGTATAGCTGTCACATCGATGTCTGTCTCTCCCCCCACCTCACCTCCCTTCCACTCTCTCGCTCCCTAAAAATCAAAAGCAGCGGCTCTCTTCCGGTGAGGGTTTTTTTGTTTTTGTTTTTTAAGGAGTCTCATTTTTACGTTGCAGTTTTTGAGAAGCGAGTCATGTGCTCTCAGATCCCATCATACTGTTTTTTCCTCCCACTATTGTGGAAATATATCTTTGGGGTACAGGTAACTTTCAGTCAACGAGATTTCTGTGGCGGCAAGAGGAATAAGCTAACAAAGGTAGAACGGCGGTGATCAATATCTTTTATTTCCCTCCAAATGCAGAGGCGGGTGCCTGGGGTCTGGCAGCAGGCAGTGTCACCAGGCTAATGCGAGTCATCCGATCCCCTGTCCCGAGGGGGAGATGGTTTCCTGCAGCACGAGGTGAAGCAGGTGGTTCTGCTCGGCGCTCAGCAGCGGCCACATCTCCACCTGCAGCGCCTTGACGGCTTCCGTGTCCTTCTCGTGGGTGGCCATGACCAGGGACTGGAGCAGCAGGAAGAGGTCTTCGGGGAGCTGGCCGCTGCCCTCCTGGCCCTGGCTGTCAAAAGCCTCCCAGGAGTACTTCTCCAGGGTGTGCGCGTGCTCCGGGAGCAGCTTGGCGGGCGGCGGCTGCAGGAGCAGCAGCAGCAGCACGCGGGACACCTCGCAGCGGACCAGGACGTCCGAGAAGGCGCCCAGCACGGCGGGGGAGGGCGCGGCCGCGGAGCCGGCGGCGCTGGGAGGGAGCGGCGCGGCGGGCGGGGCGGGGGCCGCGCCGGGTCCGTGTACCTGCGGCGGCGGCGGCAGCGGGAGCGGCGGCGGCGGCGGCGGCACCGGGTGGCTGCCGTGCTCCTGCGCCAGGCGCTGCATGCGCGTGAAGATGGCCAGGGCGCCGTTGTAGTCGCGCGCCAGCAGCAGGCAGGAGGCGGCGTCCCCGAGCGCCTGCAGCGCGGCCAGGGGCAGCTGCGACAGCTGCAGCTGGGCGGCGCGCTGGAAGTGGCCGGCGGCGGCGGCCGGCTGGCCCAGGTCGCGCAGGGCGGCGGCCAGCTCCAGGCAGAGGGCGGCGGCGGCCACCGGCTGGCCCAGCTCGAGGTGCAGGCGCACGGCGGCGCCCAGGGCGCTGGCGGCCGCCTGCAGGGGCTCCCCGTAGGCGGCGGGGCAGGCGAGCCGCTGGCGCGCCTCGAGCTCCTGCTGCAGGAAGAGGCGGGCGGCCTCGGTGAGCGCCAGGGCCTCCCCCGGCCCGTGGAACAGCGCCTGGTGGCAGCGCGCCACGGCCAGCTGGCACCAGGCCGCGTAGGGCAGGCACTCCTGGGCGCGCAGCTCGCGGCCCAGCTGGGCGAACTGCTCGCCGGCCTCCGCCACGTTCGGCTTCCGCAGGAACCGCTTCTTCAGCTTGTTAGACACCTGCCGGTATCTGGCCAAGAAGTCCCCGGTCTCGGGCCCCGGGCCCGCACCGCCACCCAAGCCGCTGGAGGACGCCGCCATGTTCCCAGCATAAGCGCTTCCGGTCGCGCTGACGCAGCAGGGTGGACCTGCGGGTGCTGGCAGCTGGCTGCAAGGTGCCCTGCGTCCGCCTCAGCCGGGCAGCACGCAGGCTCCCGCACCTAAGCCCCGCGCCCCCTGGTTGCCGTGGTGATATGCAAAATATCAGTGTCCTGGGGCGGGGCCTGGCCCGGTGCAAAGAGCATAAACAAATCACGAGTCCTGGGGCGGGGCCTGGCCGCAAGCCCTCTGTTGCTAGGTGACAGCTTGTTTACCCAGGTTGCTAAGGGTGTCTCCAGCATCTCTAAAGGAACAGGACCAAGACGAAACTCGTGATCCCGCATGACCCTCATTCCGATTTTGCATCTTTCTCCTTGTCTTTCCCTCGGCCCCCGCATCAGACCTCAATCTTCCTGTCAAAGCCACTGCCCCATGGGAGTCGATGCCAACCACTCCGCCCACCCCATTCTGCAGGCGGGTTGGCATTGCACCTTCACCCTATCACGATGCCTGAGTCATGGTCTTGCACTCCACCCCAGTGAACACCAGCCTTCTGGGGACGTTGCCAGGCTCTGACTTGCTCAGAGGCGATGGGGGAGTTTTCCAGACCCCAGCCTACCCTCACCCAGCCAGCCTCTCCCACCCTGGACCACCCCCTGCACTGTCACCATGAGGGGCTGCTCCTGTCCTGTCATCCCCGACTCCACCCCCGCTCCCGTCCTGTCATCCCCGACTCCACCCCGCTCCCGTCCTGTCATCCCCGACTCCACCCCCGCTCCCGTCCTGTCATCCCCGACTCCACCCCCGCTCCCAGGAACACACCACCACCAGCCCATCCCTCCAACCACCTCCCACACAGAGTGACTGAAGCAGGCACAGGGGTTTCCTTCAACACTTTATTTTCAATAACTTGGCCCAAGGCGCCAGACAGGCCCGGGCTGCCTGGGCTGTGAGTGGGCCGAGGCCCGGGGAGCCCAGGTCATGTTGGGAAGCTACCGCCTGCCCGGGGCCACTTGGGAGACGGTGGTGTTCTCGAAGAAACCGCTGAGCAGTGCGTTGTTGTGGATCGCCATGTCCAGCAGCTCCGGGGTGATGCGCCTGCAGCCGATTTTCTGGGCCTCGTTGCCCGCCAGCTCCAGGATCGTGGCCGTCAGGTACTGGATGATGGCCGCCAGATACACAGGTGCGTTGGCGCTGAGACGCTGGGTGTAGTGGCCGTCCAGCAGGAGGTGCTCCAGGTGGCTCACAGAGAAGGTCAATTCAGCTCTGCGGGTGCGGCTTCGGGTGCGGTTCCGCCTCTGGTGACCAGAAGAACCTCCGCGGCTCCTTTGCTCAGACATGCTGGGCGCTGGGGTGCGCTGCCTCCGACCCGTCTAGCTCTGCCGTGCGGTTCAGTGCGGTTAGGTTCAGGAAGATGCCCGTTGGTCTCAACCGCCCAAGGTGGCCAGTACAGAGGCTCCTGCTCCGTAGCCTCGCGACCATGGACCGACCCCTCATTGGTCCAGGTACAGACTGTATGACACATAAGTTCGGTGAGGTCACTGCTTTCCCATTGGCCCCGGTGGGCCGCGGCCTGCAAAGAAGGGGCGCTGGCAGCGCCCTGCTCACCCTTGCTCATGGGACCCTCTCTTTGAGGGAACTCTCACTGTCCACTGGACAGGACTGTTGTAGAGAAAAACCATGTGGGATCCAGTGGCACCAGGTATAACTGGTGATGTTGGACAGCCAGCACACCTACCTACTTCCAAAGCGTTGGAACCTCCCCCAAAGAAACCCCTGTACCCTGTGTGGCAGTCACTCCCACCGCCCTCCTCCTCTCCCCACCCCCACATGCCCTCTCCTCCTCCCCTAGACCCCAGGCAACCATGAACCCGCTTCCTGTCCATAGGGGTTTACCTATCCTAGAAACTCCCTAGAGAAGGAATCATACAAAAAATGGTTGGCCTTTTGTGTCTGGCTATTTTCACTAAGCTTGATGTTCTCGTTCTAATTCAACCACATGGTAGCAAGAATCAGCACTTCATTCCCTTTTTGTGGCTGAATAATATTCCATTGTATGGGTGAGCTACATGTTGTTCATTAATTAGTTCCTCAGTTGATGGGTGTTTGGGTCATTTCCACCTTTTGGCTATTGTGAGTAGTGTTGCAATAGACATTCTAGAACAGGGTTCCATTTGAATACCTGTTTTCAGTTCTTAGGGGTGTACGTGCATGAATAGCATTATGGGTTTATTTATGGATTCTTAATTTTATTCCATTGATCTAATTATCTGTCCTTATGCTAGCACCACATCGTTGGGATAATTGTAGCTTTATGCTGTTCTGAAATAGGGAAGTGTGTGTCCTCAAACTGTTTTCCTTTTTCAAGATTATTTTGGCTATTCAAAGTCTCTTGAAATTCCATTTGAATTTAGGATTGGCTTTTACATTTTTGTAACAAATCATTGGGATTGGGATAGCAATTGCATTTACTCTGTCAATAACTTTTTTTTTTTTTTATCATGCACCATGACCAAGTGGAATTTATTCCGGGGATGCAAAGATGGTACAATATCCACAAATCAACAAATGTGATACATCACATAAACAAACTGAGAGACAAAAATCACATAATTATATAAACTGATACAGAAAAAACATTTGACAAAATCCAACACCCTTTTTTTTGTTTGTTTGTTTCACCATATTATTTTAATTTTATTTTTTAAGTTCTAGGAAATAGAGTTTATTGTGGCAGGGAGTGTTACACACGATTGAAGGTGTGTACATTAGTAACATCACTCTGCATCCTTCATTGTGTTGGGGTCCAGCCCCAGCAGGTCCAGGGGTTCCCAAAGGTGTGGACAGAGTCAACGAAGAATGAAGGACACGGAGACAGGGTTCAGTTAATCAGCATAGCCAGGTTCTCCCGCCAGGCTCTAGCCAGGTTCTGTGTCCATGTTCTCTCACTAGGTTCTCCAGCCAGGTTCTGTGTCCATGTTCTCTCGCTAGGTTCTCCAGCCAGGTTCTGTGTCCATGTTCTCTCGCTAGGTTCTCCAGCCAGGTTCTGTGTCCATGTTCTCTCGCTAGGTTCTCCAGCCAGGTTCTGTGTCCATGTTCTCTCGCTAGGTTCTCCAGCCAGGTTCTGTGTCCATGTTCTCTCGCTAGGTTCTCCAGCCAGGTTCTGTGTCCATGTTCTCTCGCTAGGTTCTCCAGCCAGGTTCTGTGTCCATGTTCTCTCGCTAGGTTCTCCAGCCAGGTTCTGTGTCCATGTTCTCTCGCTAGGTTCTCCAGCCAGGTTCTGTGTCCATGTTCTCTCGCTAGGTTCTCCAGCCAGGTTCTGTGTCCATGTTCTCTCGCTAGGTTCTCCAGCCAGGTTCTGTGTCCATGTTCTCTCGCTAGGTTCTCCAGCCAGGTTCTGTGTCCATGTTCTCTCGCTAGGTTCTCCAGCCAGGTTCTGTGTCCATGTTCTCTCGCTAGGTTCTCCAGCCAGGTTCTGTGTCCATGTTCTCTCGCTAGGTTCTCCAGCCAGGTTCTGTGTCCATGTTCTCTCGCTAGGTTCTCCAGCCAGGTTCTGTGTCCATGTTCTCTCGCTAGGTTCTCCAGCCAGGTTCTGTGTCCATGTTCTCTCGCTAGGTTCTCCAGCCAGGTTCTGTGTCCATGTTCTCTCGCTAGGTTCTCCAGCCAGGTTCTGTGTCCATGTTCTCTCGCTAGGTTCTCCAGCCAGGTTCTGTGTCCATGTTCTCTCACTAGGTTCTCTAGCCAGGTTCTGTGTTTTATTGTCTTGTTACATCTGTATCTATCACTCTGTCAATAACTTTGGTTAGAATTGCCATCTTAGCAATGTTAAGACTTCCAATTCATGAGTGCTGATATCTTTCCATTTCTTAGGTCATCTTTAATTTCTTTCAGCAATTCTTTATAGTTTTCAGTGCACAAGTCATGCACCTCCTTGTCTAAATTTATTCCTGTGTATTTTATTTCTTTTGATGCTATTTTAAATAGACTTGTTAATTTCACTTTGGATTTTTCATTGCTAGTCTATAGAAATACAACTTTTGTGTGTGGGGGGGAGGGTCTTGTATCCTGAAACTTTATTGAATCCATTTATTAACTTTAATCTTTTGTGGATTCATTAGGGATTTCTAATATACTAGGGGCCCGGTGCACAAAATTCATGCACTGGGAGGGAGTCCCTCAGCCCAGCCTACCCCCTTTCACATACTGGGAGCCCTCAGGGGATGTCTTACTGTCGGCTTAGGCCCGTTCCCTGCTCCCCTAGGAGCCGGCTCTACCCCTGCCCAGGCCTGAGGCCTCTGGCCGAGGCTTCTGGCCTGGGCAGGGGACCCCCAGCTCCCTCCAATCGCTGGCTCCACCCCTGCCCCCTCCGATTACCGGCTCCGCCCCAGCTCAGGCCTGAGATCACCAGCTCCACCCTGCCCAGGCTATTCCTGGGTAAGGGACCCCCAACCCCCTCTGATCACTGGCTCTGCCCCAGCCCCCTTCCATCACCAGCTCTGCCCCTGCCCCCTCCAATCACTGACTCCACCTCTGCCCAGGCCTGAGGCCTCTGGCCAAGGCCTCTGGCCTGGGCAGGGGACCCCCAGCCCCCTCCAATCACCGACTCCACCTCTGCCCAGGCCTGAGGCCTCTGGCCAAGGCCTCAGGCCTGGGCAGGGGACCCCCAGCCCCCTCCCATCCCCGGCTCCGCCCCTTCCCCCTCCAATCCCTGGCTCTGCCCCTGCTCCCTCCAATCGCTGGCTCTGCCCCAGCCCCCTCCAATCACCGGTTCTGCCCCTGCCCAGGCCTGAGGCCTCTGGCCTGGGCAGGGGACCCCCCAGCCCCCTCCGATTGCCAGCTCCGCCCCAGCCCAGGCCTGAGATTGCCGGCTCCACCCCTGCCCAGACCTGAGGCCTCTGGCCTGGGCAGGGGACCCCCAACCCCCTCTGATTGCCAGCTCTGCCCCAGCCCCCTCCCATTGCTGGCTACGCCCCTGTCCAGGCCTGAGATCGCCAGCTCCACCCCTTCCCAGGCCTGAGGCCTCTGGCCTGGGCAGGGGACCTTCAGCCCCCTCTGATTGCTGGATCCACCCTCTGCCCAGGCCTGAGATCACAGACTCTGCCCCCCCCCAGTCCCCTCCTATCACCAGCTCTGCCCCAGGCCCCTCCCATTGCCGGCTCCACTCCTGCCCACGCCTGAGGCCTCAGGCCTGGACAGGAGACCAGCCCCCTCCTATCACAGGCTCCGCCCCTGCCTCCTTTGATCACTGGCTCCCCCCCTGCCCCCTCCGATCACCGGCTCTGCCCCTGCTCCCTTTGATCGCCGGCTCTGCCCCTCAGCCACCCCCCTCCTCCTCCGCCACCTGCCTGGCCAACAGGCCTGGACACTTCAGCTGCAGGGCTGAGGGGAGTGGGAGCCGCCATCTTGTGGTTATGGGCACTGCCATCTTTTGTGATGGAGTGATGGTTGATTTGCATATTATTCTTTTATTAGATAGGATGATATAATGTCATCTGAAAATAGAGATAGTTTTACTTCTTCCGTTCCAATTTGGATGCCTTTTATTTCTTTTTCTTTCCTTATTATTCTGGATAGAACTTCTCTTACAACCTTGAATAGAAGCAGTGAAGGCAAACATTGTTGTCTTGTTCTGATGTTAGGGGAAAAGTTTTTATCTTCCACCACTGAGTATGACATTAGCTTTAGGTATTTTCTAAATGCCCTTTATTATGTTGTGGAAATTTATGTTGTTGGATTTTGTTGATTTTTTTTTTTTATGCATCAACTGAGATGGTCATATTGGTTTTTATTTTTAGTTCACTAATGTGGTGTTGATTAATCACTTTTCTTTTTTTAATATATTTTATTGATTTTTTACAGAGAAGAAGGGAGAGGGTTAGAGAGTTAGAAAAATCGATGAGAGAGATCGATCAGCTGCCTCCTGCACACCCACCACTGGGGATGTGCCTGCAACCAAGGTACATGCCCTTGACCAGAATCGAACCTGGGACCCCTCAGTCCGCAGGCCGACACTCTATCCACTGAGCCAAACCGTTTGGCGATTAATCACTTTTCTTATGTTGAACCACCCACCATTGCATTCCTGTGATAATTCTACCTGGACATGGAATGGAATGTTTATACTATACTCTTGGATTCATTTTGCTATAATTCTTATGAGGATTTTGCATCCATATTGGTAAAGAATATTGCTCTGTAATTTTTTTCTTGTGGTATATATATCAGGATTTGGTGTCAAGGTAATGCTGACCTTGTAGGATAAGTTGGGAAGTTTTCTCTCCTTTTCTGTCTTTTGGAAGAGTTTGGAAAAGATTGGCATTAGTCTTTCTTTAAATATTTTGTAGAGGAGAGATCCAAGATGGTGTCAGAGTAGGTGTACACTCACCTCCTCCAAAAACCAAACTGGAATTACAACTAAGATATAGAACAGTTAACCCGAGTAACCAACCAAAGACTAGCTGAACAGAAG